GGCAGCTGGTTATTTTGCCCATTAGTTGATGCAGTTTTTCCATAGGGCATCGATGGCCTTTTACAATTGGTATGTTTTGCAAGTGGCTGTATGGTTGTTCCTTTTCCATGTTAGTGCCTTTCCTTCAAGAGGTCTGTGAAAGCAGGCCCTCAGTGGGACAAAATCTCTCAGCAATTTGCTTGTCCTTGAAGGATTTTAATTTTCTACCCTTCACTTATGAAAGCTTAATTTGGCCTGGCTATGGAATTCTGGTTGAAAATTCTTTTCTTTAAGAATGGTGAATAATTTGGCCCTCACTCTCTTCTGGCTTGTAGGGTTTCTGCTGAAGATCCGTGTTTAGTCTGATGGGGCTCTCCCTTTGTTCGGTAACCTGACCTTTCTCTCTGGCCTGCCCTAACATTTTTTCCTTCATTTCAACTTTGGTGAATCTGACAATTATGTGTCTTGAGATGGCTCTTTTGGAGGATTATCTTTGTGGTGTTGTCTTTATGTCTGAATTTGAATTTGGCCTGCTTGCTAAGTTTGGGAAGGGAAGTTCTCTTGGATAATATCCAGGAATGTTTTCTAACTTGGTTCCATTCTTCCCATCACTTTCAGGTACACCAATCAAACATAGATATGGTCTTTTAACATAGTCCCATATTTCTTGGAGGCTTTGTTCGTTTGTTTTCAGTCTGTTTTTCTCGAATCTTGTCTTCTTGCTTTATTTCATTAATTTGATCTTCAATGACTGATATCCTTTCTTCCACTTGATCAAATTGGGTATTGAAGCTTGTGTATGTTTCACGAAGTTCTCGTGCTGTGTTTTTCAGCTCCATCAGGTCATTTATGTTCTTTTCTACACTGGTTATTCTAGTTAGCCATTCGCCAAACCTATTTTCAAGGTTTTTAGCTTCCTTGTGATGGGTTAGATCATGTTCCTTTGGCTTGGAGAAGTTTGTTATTACCCACCTTCTGAAGCCTACTTCTGTCAACTCATCAAACTCCTTCTCTGACCAGTTTTGTTCCCTTGTTGATGAGGAGTTGTGATCCTTTGGAGGAGGAGAGACGTTCTGGGTTTTGGAATTTTCAGCCTTTCCGCTCTGGTTTCTCCCCATCTTTGTGGTTGTATCTACCTTTGGTCATTGATGTTGGTGAGCTATGGATGGGGTTTTGGTGTGGATGCCCTTTTTGTTGATGTCGATGCTATTCTTTTCTGTTTGTTAGTTTTCCTTCTAACAGTCGGGCCCGTCAGCTGTAGGTCTGTTGGAGTTTTCTGGAGGTCCACTCCAGACCCTGTTTGCCTGGGTATCACCAGCAGAGGCTGCAGAACAGCAAATATTCCTGACTGATCCTTCCTCTGGAAGCTTTGTCCCATTGGGGCACCTGCTGGATGCTGGCCAGAGCTCTCCTGTATAAGATGTCTGTCGGCCCCTACTGGGATGTGTCTCCCAGTCAGGCTACATGGGGGTCAGGTACCCACTTGAGGAGGCAGTCTGTCTGTTATCAGAGCTTGAACGCTGTGCTGGGAGAACAACTGCTCTCTCAGAGCTGTCGGGCAGGGACATTTAAGTCTGCAGAAGCTGTGCCCACAGCTGCCCCTTCCCCTAGGTGCTCTGTCCCAGAGAGATGAGGGTTTTATCTATAATTCCCTGACTGTGAGCTGCTGTCTTTGTTCAGATATGCCCTGCCCACAGAGGTGGAATCTAGAGAGGCAGTCAGCCTTGCTGAGCTGCAGTGGGCTCCACCCAGTTCGAGCTTCCTGGCAGCTTTGTTTACACTGTAAGCATAAAACCACCTACTCAAGCCTCAGCAATGGCGGACGCCCCTCTCCCCGCCAAGCTCCAGCATCTCAGGTCTGCTGCGCTACCAGCGAGAATTTCAAGCCAATGGATCTTAGTTTGCTGGACTCTGTGAGCATGGGACCCACCAAGCCAGGCACAGGAGGGAATCTCCTGGTCTGCTGGTTGCAAAGACCATAGGAAAAGCACAGTATTTGGGCAGCAGTGTACCATTTCTCCAGGTACAGTCTTTCACAGCTTCCCTTGGCTAGGAAAGGGAAATCCCTGGACCCCTTGTGCTTCCTGGGTGAGGCAATGCCCCGCCCTGCTTCAGCTGGCTTTCTGTGGGCTGCACCCACTGTCCAGCCAGTCCCAGTGAGATGAACCAGGTACCACAGTTGGAAATGCAGAAATCACCCATCTTCTGCATCAATCTTGCTGGGGGCTGCAGACCAGAGCTGTTCCTATTCGGCCATCTTGGAAGCAATTTCCCATGTATCCTTTAAACCCTTTTTAACTGAGAGAGCCTGGTCCTAATCCTTGCACCCTCAGAGAATCTGACAGCACCTCAGCCCTGTCCAGCCAAGTGCCAGGGGCAAGCCAGATCTCTGGTCTTAGATTCCCATGAATGGATTCCAGGTGGGTAGCCAGCCTCTTTCCCAGCACATGAGGCCACCACCCCCCATATTTGGTGTTATGGGTTGAATTTTGTCCCCTGTTCAAATTCGTATCTTGACGTTCTCAGTACCTTAGACCTTATTTGGAGATAGGGTCTTTACAGAGGTAGTGAAGTTAAAATGAGGTTATTATGGTGGGCTCTAATCCATGACTGCTATTCTTATTAAAAGGGGCAATTTGGAGATATACACATACACACACACATACATGCACACACATACACAATACCATGTGAAGATTGGAGTTATGCTGCCACAACCAGAAAGAACTAGTACAAGCTAGGAGAGGCCTGGAATAGACGCTTCCTTCACAGCCCTCAGAGGGAACCAATCCCTGCTGACACCTTGATTTTGGACATCTGTCTTCCAGAACCATAAGACAGAATTTCTTTTGTCTAAGCCTGTCAGTTTGGGGTACTTTATTATGGCAGCTGTGATACACTTGGTCTTTCCAACAGCAGCCTTTTCAGGTGTAGAGGCTGATGTCTCACATATCAGCTTGGGGATGATGTGGAGGGATCACCCTAAGCAGCCCTGTTGGGGTACAATGGGCAGGGAGGGGAGGCAGCACCACTCTACTCACAAGATTTTCGGCCCCGTGGCCCCACGGAAGGCTCCATTGTGCATCTTCTCCAGATGTATGTTTTCCTTTAGCTCCCTGTGGGGAAGGACATTTTCCTTAGTGGAGTTTGTACCTCATGTGTAAGCATTCATAGCTGTTTGTACACATATTTAGACCAACCTCTGTGCATGGTGGTAGGGTTAGAAGGGGAAAAAGGGGGAAGTGGAGGGAGAGTGGGAAAAAGACGTGCTAGTCCTTAATGAAATAATGAAATTGCTGGCTTGTGTGTTTGGCCGCTCCTTTTTTCTTCCACTACCTCCTCACTTGGTAGAACTCTGTCCTGTAACTTAAAGTACTCACCCGCTCCTGTCTTGGAGTTATGAAAGTTTACCACCAGACAGCTGGGTAAGGTTGAAAATGCTGCTCCAAGAGGCCAAGGCTTGAAGGGCTGAAGTGCAACCTACTCTTTGTTAGCCTCTCGGCCATTGTGACCTTGGAGGTCTCAGAGTGTGCTAATAGTTATATATTGAAGTTTGCAAATACTTGAAAAAGTAGGGTCCGTTCAGAGTTATCCCTTTTGTAGTGTAATTTGTATTCTTTTTCTTTCAGATATGCATTTCTCAGTGGATGAGAAAGAGGACTTACAGCCTCTGTAGAAAATTGCCCCATGGAGCTGTGCAGTGTAAATGATCATGGCCAGATGTGTGTGTGTGTCATGGAAAAAGTGTTGAGGGCCACTACTCTCAAGGCCGTGGAAGAAGCCAAAAGCTGTTATGGAAGTAGCTCCCTGAGGGCTCTGCTGCCTTGAGTTCAAAGTCATTCCGGCTAAACTCCTTAGGAGCAGCACAATCTGGTCCTCCTAGGCAGCCTCCTTTCTGGGCCCTGACACTGGTATCTCTAAGCACAGGCCCTTCTCTGAGTAGTCGAGGGAACTAGAAGAGGAATCCCTGGGCGCAAGCCTGCCAGCCTTCTTTTGAGCACTTCCTCTCTGTAAGAGAATGGTTGTGATTCACAGAGCATCTGGAAAACCCTGGGTGGTGGGCACAGTGTGCATCTGTCGTTGGTGTGATGATTTCAAGCATGGGAACATGATTCTCTTACCACCATTACAGTGTACACAGCAAAACAAACATACTAACATCCATTCCCCACCCTCCTTGCTGTTTAAGAACTGCAAAAACCCCTGCATTTCACTCTCTGGGTGGCTGTTTTCCACATTTCTACTAAGCATTTTCTTTGGAAACCCTCAGCCCTTTCATCAGAATCTACCTGTCAATCTCACATTGTCCCATCCCCTGGGTGTATTTTCACTTTCAAAGAGATGTGATTGTCAGAGTCAATTGCTATTTAAAATCTAAATCAAAAGAAATTTTTCTTCCTAAACCTCCATGACTCTTCTTCCTGATGTGTTTTGTTTTAATTATATTCAGTTATAGTTATGCATCACTGAAACTGGGCTCTGTGAGCAAATTATTCTTGTGGTAGCCCAGTCAGATTAATTGTTCAAATTTCATGACAGAGCATTTCACATGTTTTACTAAAACCCAGATCTTTCTGTATACTGGTAACTCTGTATTACGCAACTTGGTCAAAAAATAAATTAATTTCCCACATTGTCCTGGGGATCACTTTTGAGAATTCTCCCAATGACGTGACCTTGCAGGTGTGAGAAGCACAGGCAGGATGACCTTTTGAAGCACAGTGGAAGAAACCACAAGTTCCACCAAAGTTTTCCCAGCTGGGGTGCTCTGGGAACAGTAGGGACTGACTCCCAGACCCCTCAGGTGCCTCAGGGCCACCTTCTGGGGCTGCTCCTGTCTTTCCTGTGTCCTGTGCTGCCTTAGTAAGTCAGGTGTTTGCGAACTTTGCAGGACTTCAGTATCATTGTGTTCTGAACAACTTTGGACGGGCCTATTTATGAGAAAGGCTGAATGTATTGTTTGAAAATTTTGCTTGACAATTTTGAAAACTGCTTCTCCCCTGCTACTTAAACTCTTTAATGTGTGACCTTGCCCTTAGAAGAGAATTTGGACTCCTTTCCCATGGCTGCTCAATCCTGCTCCATCTCCTTCATCTCCAGTCTCCCCCTTGCTAAAGACCCTCCAGCCATACGGGCCTCCTCTCAATTCTTGGGACTTACCAACTTAGTTCCTTTTCCAACTCAGGACCTTTGCACATCTGCTCCCTCTTTCTGTAATGTGCTTCCCTCACTGTTGCCACAGTGGAATCCTTGTCATCCTTCAGGCTCAGCCTAAATATCACGTCCTCAGTGAGGCCATCCTGGGTACCTTGCCTAAGTTGGTCACCCCTCATACTCTCTCAGATCTCAGTAACAGGTTATGTCCTTCTTAGTATATATTACCCTTGTAATAATTTTATCTATTATTTGCTTTTTTTGTCTGTCTCTTTTGATAGATCAGAAACTTCAAAAGGGCAGGGACTGTGTCCTCTCTACCATTGCAGACTCAGTACCTAACACAGTGCTTAGTATATCAGTGGTGCTTAATAAATGCTTGTTGAATGAAATTAAGTTTGTTCTTGGCAAACTGACTCATGTCCTTGGTTTCCTCTTTCTTACAACAGTGAGATGCAGGGCATACAGAATGTTGACTAATTGGACTTTTCATAGTTCATACCCATTTTGGTATCTCTGTAACAGTTGAAATGCTGCTGACCACCTGAAATCTTCCCTTCTAAATTTCTATTTTTCCTGACCTCACACAGGCATACTGTGTTGGTTTTCCTCCCATCTGTTTTATTTTGCTCTTGCTTCTCATGCTCATCTTGTTTCCCTTTAATTTAATATTCACTTCTTTTGTTTTTCCCCCTGTTCAGGTAACCTCAGCCACACAGGATTTCAGCCATCCCCTCTATTCAGATGACCCTGGCACTTGTGTCTCTAGCCCTGCCCTACCCCTTCCAGCCTTCCATCCTTCCTGCTAACAGATGAGCCTTCTTTAAGCACTCATCACGTACTTCTAACTCAGAACTTTCAATGGCTTCTCGTTTTCTGGAGAAGAGTCTAAACTCTTTACTATGGCATCTGAGGCCTTTCCTGTTTTGTCCCTAACTTGTATCTAGAAAGCACTATTTGCTGGTCTCTGAATACATGCTATACTTCCTCTTCTGGACCATTCTTCTTGCTGTCCTCTGCTTGGAAGGTGTTTTTCCTCTATTTTTGCCTAAGTTATGCCCAGCTCAAAGCCCACCTTTCCCAGATACTTTTTATACTTTCCTTTCCTCCTGCCTTGAAGTCCCAGAGAACTTTACCTCTCTCTGGGGAGGCTTCATGCTTTGCTTCTGTTTTAGTTAGTATTTAATGTGTAGTTTATACAGCATTTGGAGATGCTTCTTCCTATGCTGTAAGCTCCTGTAGGGCGACACTAGGACTTAATCATCTTCATTTCCCCTCAAAATATGACATGTTTCTTCAAACACAGCTGATGCTTCATAAACATTTGTTGAGTGAATAATGGAATGAGGCATCTGAGAGAACTGTGCCAGGAGATGATATAAATGCCTCTGATTTAAGTTTGGCAGAAATCGATTCAATTGGCCTGAATGAACCCTTCATTAACTTAAGGATGCTTGTTGATGAACCTTTCATTAAGTCATCAAGTCAAAAAGAACATGAGGGCAAATTCACCCCATGATAGGAGAACAACTTTAAAAATTCTACCATTTCTTGAACACTTAGTATGTGCTAGTATGCTGTGCTAAGCACACAAAAATATAATCTTGTTTAATTGTTTACTTATAATTAATTATATTGTATAGTACATAATAAATAAGCACCTACTATATGCCAGGCACTGTGTTAAGTATTGGGGATATGAAACAGATCTTTTCATTTTGGTGGGGTATCTTCAAAAAAAGCCTGTTAGTGGATCTACTTTATGAATGAGGATACTGTGGCTTAGATAGGTTAAGTAACTTGCTCAAGGTCATACCAGCTGTTAAATAGTGGGACTGGAGTTTGAGTCTTACTCACTGTCTCTTAAGTCTATTCTGTTAGCCACCAAACTATATAGCATGTATCAGTATAATAGAGTCTTTGGTTAGATACCTATTATTAAAAATAAATAGCATATTGTGCAGAATTTTGCTACCCAACTTTAGATTGTGCTACCCAACTTCAGACTGACAGCATCAGCATCTCCTGAAGCTTGTTAAAACTGCAAATTCTCAGGCTCTACCTAGATCCACTGAATCCCAGTTTCTGGGGGTAGGGCCCAGGAATCTGTATTTTAAAAATCTGCAGGTTCTTCTTAGGTGTGTAAAAATTTGGGAAGCATTAGTCTAGATTACGGCTTACATAACTTATTTATTTTAAAGGACTTTTTGTTTATTTTCCTTAATTTTGGCTTTAATTGAACTTTTCATGTGCTCTCAGTTTTTATTATGAACAAATTGTAGGGTGACTGTCACCTCACCCTGTACTTGCTGTAGTTCAAATGTCCCCAGCCCTACAAACTTTGTGAATATGCCACTCTTTTAGAAGAGGATCCATAGAAGGAAAGAGAGGTCGAGAACAATGAGGGAAACAGTAGCGATGCTCTTTTTGAGTTAAAGGCTGTTAACATGAAGAACTGGGTAGGGTGTGGTGAAAACACAAAGCTCCCTACCTTGTGGAAAATGAGCTTCCTTCCGCACTAGTAGTACAGAGATGGGACTCCCTGAGTGGGTCTGTTGTGGCTGATTAGACTGGTAAATGGTAGTGTTATCTGATTTCTCTGCAGTGGGGCCAGGGGAAGAATTTCTTTCTGAAATTCTGCTTCCTCTAACACACCATCAACCTGAGTGAGGGGGCTAGAGAGGGAGGCACTGAGGTGGAGGAGGCATAAAGTAGGGTGTTGAATATTTCAGTAAACTGTCAACTTCAATGTATCCAGGCTGCATCTGCCTTTGAAATCAGGGTGCTGTGGGGTTTCTAGCCAGCCAGTTGCCTAGTAACATGCATGAAACACTGAGGGCTAGCCACTTGAAAGTTTATTTTTGCCCTGAGTTAGTTGCTGAAGATTGAATGTGATCTTGTAGCCAGAGTAATATTTCATTTTTATTCATGAGCTGGGGAAATGAGCAAATACTTACAGTGAAATCAGTGTCGTCCCATTGAACGCATGACTTTGTACTTCTTCAAATCCATTTCCATATAGTTTGCTGAAGGAGGGAGGAGAGGGTTTAGGAATGGGAAGAAACTGAAAGAAACAGTTTGGAAACACATTTTTTCCTCCTGTAACATATATTACTAAGATTATTACAGGCATTCATAATATCTAGTTCTCTATCGTTACCGCCACCATCAATTTATTAAGTGGCTATTAAGTGCTAGATACTTCATCAGCCACTCTATGTATATTTTATGATTTAATCCTCATCATCATTTCCATTATACTGACAAGAAACCTAAGCCTCAGTGTGGTTATGTAGCTTGCTTAATGTCAAAAGGAAAACAGTGGCATAGCTGGGATCCGAGGCCAGAGCTGTTTAACACTTAAGCCTTTCCTCTGGTTTTGCAGGCCTGTGTGGGCATATGGGTTTTCTGGGTGTTGAAAGCTGAGGGCAGAGGAAGCCTCCAGCACTGAGCCAGCTTTTTTTTTCTTGGATGAGTGTGTGGTTTTGCTGATGTCAAATTTGGCTCCACAACCAAGAAGATTTCACTGTCTGTAAACAGTTCTTTAAGACCATTAGTGGGTAGTGAATCAATTTACTTGGGCATAACCAGCATTTAAAAAAACTACATAGAAAAATAAAAAGTATTAGAGCATTTTGCAAGTAATTAGGGTATTAATTTTTATGAAATTTTATGCCACCATTTTTTATGGTATATATCTATAAATACACATACATACATACATACATATATACTTCTACCCGGAATAAGACAGAAGAGGATCCTTAGAACACAGATACAGGGAAATGTTTGAGCCAAAAAGGAGTCTAGAGGGAATCAAGCAGCACATCGTCATTTTGCAAAGAAGGAAATAGACTCAGTGAGGGAAAGTAACTTGTCTAACAAGTTTGAAAGCTACTGACTTAGATGGAAATATTTGTATAAGTTCTTTGTGAATGATGATGTAAAACCCACGTGAGAAAGGGCTGTGGTGTGACGTACTGTTAAGCTCCTTATATCTGCCAAGACCCTAACTTCCCTTTGCAGGGTTGCTGGAAGCTGGCCAGGGACAGGCTGCGGGGTGTGACTTGAGAAATGGTTCAGAAATGTGCTTCACTTATTCCTGCTCCAGGTAGCTGTTGTCTTCAAGGCCTCGCTAGTCTTTGTTAAATAAAATGAGCATGGAACTTCACTTTACGGGGGGTGTGAGTGTGTGTGTAACATCAATAGCATGTATGTACTCTGTGTGTATGTATGTATGGTCTCCTCCCATCAACCCACAACACAGCTGAGACAAACCAACATATAAATAAAGGTGTGACTCATTTTGAAGTATAATATGTAAACTCTGAAATTCAGAAAATATAACTAGAGGTTACAAAATAGTTCTTAAGTCTCCTCATTAGATTCAGTTCAAAGAGGGCAGGGGAGCATATTTAATTCATTTCTTAAAGCCCTGGGGCCTCACAGAATGCCTGGTACCTAGCTCAGTCAATAGCCTGGGGAAAGCAGCGGCTTTGCCCTTCCCTGGGAGGGGGAGGCTTCCATGGCTTCCCAGGCTCTTATATGCTTTCTTCTGAGCTTCTTCAGAGTTTACGGCTACACATACTAGCTCTCCCATATTGGATTACTGGATGCCACTTTCAATAGTTTTCATTCCCTTCTATATTGTAGAATCTGAGGCACGTTTCTGAACCATTTCTCAAGTCACACCCCACAGCCTGTCCCTGGCCAGCTTCCAGCAACCCTGCAAAGAGAAGCTAGGGTCTTGGCAGATTCAAGCAGCTTAACTTTACATCACACCACAGGCCTTTCTCAAAGAACTTATATTTCCATCTAAGTCAGTAGCCTTCAGACTTGTTTGGTTATGATTTATGGTAAGAAATTCATCTTACATACTCCCATTTGGTCATCCCATTCATTTAATGCATATTTACTGTAATACTCTCAGGTGCCAGGCACTGTTCTAGATACAGGAGGATATGTTTCTCTGGAGGAGGTAAACAAGAAAACGTAAAATATAATCATGGGTCAGATGACGATAAAGCAATGGAGGCAGAGCCAATCAGCTTCACATATTAGCTCTCCCATATTGGATTACTGGATGCCACTTTCAGTGGCTTTCTTCCCCTTCTATATTGTGGAATCTGAGAACATAGGGACAGGGTTGATGCTTGTTGTCTTGCATAATTATACACAACCTTGTTGCCTCCTTAGAAGCTCAGTTTCACCGGAATTCTTTTTTATTTTACACTTAGGATATTATTCTTTGGCAGTCTCCTGCCATTTTAGGGGTTGCATTCCTTTATAGCAGTCTCTTTTAGATAAAGGAATCACACCCTTTTTTCTGAACTTCCTTAAGTTTGATGTCTTAGACGCTTGCCCAGTATTTGTCAAAACTTTCTCCTCCATCCACTGAATTAGAATCACCGGGAGTTGCTTGTCAAAAATGCAGACTTAGACCTACTAAATCAGAAACTAATAGTGGCATCCAAAAAATATGCACTTTTATAACAAGCCCTCCCAGTGAGCCGTCATATGCCAGTTTGAGAACCCTTGCCCTAGAGTATATCATAGGATGATACTGTTCTTATCACTTCCATGGGGCAAATCAGATGGTCGTTGGCTTAGAATTGTATCCAGAGTCTAGTTCCTGAATTGCTTTCTCTACCTTCTAAGTGGTGGCACTACATGTGTAGTAGATGAAGAAAAAATAGCCCTTGCTTTGTTTTCACCAAAGCTGCTAATAGTTGTCTAGATGCCCATGAGCCCATTACTCATCACAGCTGCATGCTGCCCTGATCCTTGTTTTGATACATGTTAGGATTTTATGCTTTTCTGTTAGACTCACAATGTCATTGCTGTAAGTGTACCCTTGTGGTTAAGTCTGCAGGCACTGAACCCAACTGCTTGAATCCCAGCTCTGCTGCTTACAATCTGAATTACTTTGGGCAAGTTACTTACCATCTCTGTACCTTGATTTCCTAATCTGAAAATATAATAATAGTATCAACCTCATAAAGCTATTGTAAGGACTAAAAATGTAAATATGTGCTTAACATTTCTAAGTAGGTTCTGGAATACAATAAATGCTTCATGTGTTGGTCCTATTATTATTATTATATTTTGCAGTAGCCTCCAGCCTTCTGACCAGAACAGAGGGAAAGGATCTCCCTTTCCATGCTCTGGACAGGATTTCTGTCAAATACAGGCATCTTGTTTAATTGAACTATCACCCTTCTCCACTGAGGTAGGGGGTCTTTCTCTTCCTGGGCAGAGCAAGTCAGGTCAGTGGCCTGGACTTCCCCAAATGTACTCACATGCTGAAGGCTCTCAGATACCTTTGGTCTGTACTAGCATCATGGACTTTTTTGGCTTTAGACATTTTCCATGTCTTTTTTTTTTTTTTTTTCTGAATAGCCTCAGTCCTGCTTGTCTCAACTTTCTAAACAATGTGGCCCACTGTTCCAGTTGCTCTTGTCTCTTTTCTTACCAGTCACACACAATAGAATGTGCTGCCTTGTTTTGATTAAAAGAGAAGCTTCCTTACTCTGGAGAAATTACAAATGTGAGTGGGAGACCTCATGCTGTCAGGCTTGCACAATGCTTTTAATGCCCTTAAAAAAACATCTGGAGAGTCACTTCAGATAACTTTTTTATAAAACATCATGGTGTCAGAATTAAATGAGGAAGGCTTCCTTTGCTTTACTTTGACGATTTTGTTACAGGCACAAAAATGAAGATTTTCACCTCCCCCAACTTCTCCTCTATTACAATAGCTGTACCTAACTTTAAAGCATTGTCTAGGTTCTCTACTCAAATGTCAGTAATTGTGAATCAGACAGAATGGCACCTTTTTGTTCAAAATAAGATTTGGGCTTTAGATATTAATCACAGATGATACTCTAATTCTGAATGCTGCTTTATGATGAACCCCAAGTATTCCTGGGACTCTAAAAGCATTTCTGGGGTTCTAATATTAACAGTATTAGAAATTATTCTATAGTTTCATTTTGGATCACCTGGTTTCTGGATGATTTTGAAGAAGAAAACTTAATTTATGTTTACAGATACTCAGGGTCTCAAAAAGTGGCCCCATTGCTAAAAGGCAAAGCATGCTGTTTTAGAAGATATCTTTTAGAAAATATGGTGGTATATTTGTAAGTACATTTTTTTTTTTCAAATGACTATACAAACAGCATTCTAAAGAAAGGAAATCCTAAATTCACCACTTTCTTCCCTGTGTGGAACTTTGCTGAAGTCCTTTTATAGCTGAATAATTCCTCATGTATGAAGACACTTCTCTAGTGGATGTGCTGGCAGTGGTTAGATGGGTACCTGTGACCTGGTTACTATGTGCTGCTGTAACCCTAGTTATGCATCAGGGTCCCCCCACTTCTGGGGCCTCACAGTCTCTATAGCAAGGGATCCCTGTCCCTGGATTGCTGTGCCTCCTGCCTCTCAGCAGCACTGAGTTTTCATGTTTCCTTCTATCTCAGCCATATTCATGTCAACTTATATGTCTTTACTATATGTAATAATAAAAAGGGTGACAGGCATCAGAAAGAATGATAGCAATAAAGGATTCCAATATGTTGAATAAATTTTTTGAAAAATTCACATTCTATAGTGATACTCCAAAAGAGACAGACCAAGAGAGAACAGGGAAAAGGGGGAAAAAAGTAAGCATCTTCTTTACAGAAAGGTGTTGGCTAATACATGTGGAAGAATGATAGCATGTAAAAAACTACCATTTTGTTTAACTCCCCTTGTAACAACCGTGTAATCAATGGAGGCTGAAACCATTGGATGAAAAGTTGTTGGCCAACTGAATAGTCACACAAACTCACAGTGTACCACCATAGTTTACTTGTTAATGACAGAGGAAAATGTGCTCTTACAATAGAGATCTGGCAGTCACTGCCTTAAGCGAGCAGCCAAGTAGTGTGACAGTGTGACATGATGTACTTCCTGGTTTGATGTAGTGCGAGAGGCACAGCACCCCCTTTGCAGTGTTCCTGTAGAAATATTTGACCTGAATCTAGTCATGGCAATATAGTCAGCTGAATCCAGACAACTGTCTTGGGCTCCTCAAAGGATCCTATGTCATACAGAACAGAGGAAGGAAGCTGGACAGTTTGGGATATGGGGGAAGATGTGGGAGGTGAGGTTGGGAGTACAAAGGGAAATAACAGCAAAAATGCAATGCATAAACTTTGATTGGATTCTTAGTTCTAAGAAAATCTATAAAAGACATTTTCATTTGAATATGGACTGTAGGTTAGATAATATGATTCATGTTTATTTTCTTAGGTGTGATGGCATTGTAGTTATGTAGAATGTCCATGTTTTAGAGAGATACATGCTTAAGTATTTAGGGATGAAATGCCATGATGTGTATAAACTTCTTTTGCATGGCTTGGCAAAAGGGCAGTGTGTGGTATATACTCACATACACAGAGATGGAGTGGGTGCGGCAAGCTGCTAATAGTTGATGAATCTACATAAGGTGTATGGGGTGTTCATCATACTGTTCTTTCCATCTGTCAATGAAAAGACAAATGGAAAGTGCCTCAATTTGTCAGTTAAAAATTTCAAAAAAAAAAAAACATTTAAAAGGAGATGATGAGATGTGATGTTTTTAAGATGGTCTAAAACAACTGGCCTGCTCCAGGTTGCTAAGTATGAGCTTTTAACTGTGATTAATTGTAATTGTGATGATTGTGTGATTGACGCAAAGTGATTTGATTCACAGGAGGCAGTAATCCCTTTGAATAGACAGAGACAGAGGTATGTCAAAGTGGGATGACCTGACTAAGGCTGCTTGGCTGGTTAGACACAGAGCCAGGACTGAAGCCCAGCCTCCCTATTTCAACACGGTAGAGAGACCCAGCAATCTCTCTACTGTGGCTTGTCATGGGTACAGCCTGGAATTGTCATGCCTTTCCAGACATCACTTCTCTGTAAGGTCTTAGGAAATTAATTGCCGTGACCTTTCCATTTCTTTGTGGAGTTGAGATGTGAATCAAGATTGTCTCTTTTTTTTGAGACTGGTATGACCAATCACCTAGAATATTTTAAAGGTAGTGCAGCTAAATTCTGCTTATTTGGGAAGGAGGGACATTTCAAGGTGGCCTCTTGAGGAGATTTAATAAACAACCAAAGTGGCTATAAAGGGACATAAGAGCATAATGCATAGTTTTAGCATTAGCCCCACTGAGTTTCTCCAGCATCAAGTGAAGTGTTTTGTTTTCATTAAATGAGCTCACAGTTGGTAAAGATTTGGGTTGGGGGAGGGCAAGACAGGTTCTACAAAAGGCAAAATCTCAAATACCACTAATAATGAAAAGAGAAGGCTTGCTTTCATTATTTTCTAATTAGAGAGTTGAACTTTATAACTGAGAAAATAAGGCTTTCCTCTTTAAGTGCAATACCCTTTTTCCAGCAGGGTGCTCCACATGATCCTTTGCTTACAGAGGGGCCCATTCAGCGAGAACAAGTGCCAGGCAGAAGACTCATCACTCCCCTTCCAGATGAAGGGCCAAGAATGAGAAGGGGGATGGAACCACAATGTCCCACAGGCTCTCTGGGAGAGACAGAGCCTCAATCTTTATTAACTTCGGAGTGGGGGAAATTACACCCTACTGGCATGAACTCTTTTTCTTAAAATCATGAGCAACATAAGTTAATGTCCCTGTCATAAAGAAAACCATGAAGCTCTCTGTGCACATACTGAAGTATGATGTGTGAGAAGGAATCTTTGGTTACTCCTTGAGTCTGGTGGGGTGTCCCAGTCTTGTGAGCTCATGGTTACCTATGGGTTATCCCAACATTGATTTTCTTCTTCACCCTCCTCCATGTCTTCTGCCCTTTCATTCCTACTTCACTCCACTCCCATCAATGTACATTTACCTGGGAGGAGTACCTGTTGGTCTCTGATTATTTTTAGATTTAGATCAAAATCGAAGGGAGTTGTGGATATTTGTGATCTTTGAATAAAGTCTACTCTATTGAGTAGATTATTTTGTTACTTTTTCCAGAGTTACCTCCAAGCCTGCCTCCTTGTTCTGGCACTTAAGGGTCTCTGCAATTCAATGTCCTCTCCATCTCAGCCAGTTATCTAAACTCACTTTCCGTTCCTTAAATAGCATGTTTACTCCCAAGTAGTAGCTTCACCCTGTTCTCCTCCTGCCATGCTTTTGCTCCTACTATCTCTTCACTTGGATTCCTTACTCTGCCTTTCTCTGTATGTGGTACCACATAAATGTTAAGAACATGATTCTGGAGCCAGACTGCCTGGGACCACATCTTGGCCTGAGATAGAGATACTTAACCTCTTGGTGCCTTGGTCTCCTCGTCTAAAAGTAGGGTTGATAGTTCCTACCTCATAAGGTTCTATGAGACTTAAAAAGTACTTAAAAACAGTACAGGTATTTAATAAGGGCTACATAAATATTAGATGCTATTATCACACTTACCCATATAAATGTTACTGATTCCATAGGTCTGATTCAAGTCTATCAGCTCCACTATAAAGCCTCTTCTGACTTCCCCAGCCCAAGAGGACTTCTCTAAGATCTTATTTCTAGGTACCACACACTCTGATAGTGAATATCTACTATCTTGTATTATCCTTTTATTATTTTATGTCTTTCCCCTCATTGAGATTATGAACTTCTTGAGGACATGAATCTAATCCTATGTATTTTGTATTCTTAATATAGACATGGGGAGACCCCAAATCCTAAGGCATGTGATATCACCTCATTTGGAGTTTATTTGGTGAATACCTTGTTTTTGGTGGGGGACATGATGAATGAGTAGTTCCAGATCCAGTGGTGAGTTGAAAACACTTTATAAGCAGCAGGTAGAGCTGTGGTGTATGAGGGAAGTGGCAGGAGTGGAGAGACTGTTGAGAAATATTTCTAGGATCAATAGAGTCTCCTTCCCAGTGTTCAAGAGTTGCAAGTAAAGAGTATGGGTTATTTTTGAAATTATTTGTGGTTGCTGCTCTGTATTCTTTTGATTGCAGTAATCTGAGATGAAGCTACATAGTCACAGCTTTGTAACATGACAACTATACATGTAAAATTACACCTACACAAAGTAAAAGTACTATACAAAGGCAGTGTACCAAGGATACCAATTTTTAGAATCCAGTGATATAAAAGAGAGTCCTCTGAGATGGTCTCTTCTTTTGCTTCACATCTATCTCTTCATTTCAGAGTCATTCCAATCCATGTTCTCTCTTTTTTCTTTAAGGGTGAGCTCCTTTATTGCCTCATCACAATTTTGCCATGGGCTGTAACCAAAGCAGAAAGAGTGAGAGGGATATAGATTTTAGGAGCAGAATTAAATAAGGGTCGTTGGGCTTTAGGTATAAAGAAATGAGGCCGGGTGTGGTGGCTCACGCCTGTATTCCCAGCACCTTGGGATGCCAAGGTGGGCAGATCATGAGGTTAAGAGATCAAGACCATCCTGACCAACATGGTGAAACTCTATCTCTACTGAAAACACAAAAATTAGCCAGGTGTGGTGGCATATGCCTGTAGTCCCAGCTACTCGGGAAGCTGAGGCAGGAGGATCACTTGAACCCGGGAGGTGGAGGTTGCAGTGAGCTGAGATTGCACCACTGCACTCCAGCCCGGTGACAGAACGAGATTCAGTCTCAAAAATAAAATAAAATAAAATAAAGTAAAATAAAATAAAATAAAATAAAATATGGTGCCCAGGGTGCTGCTTCTGAATGGTAGGGCAGTGGAAAGCTCCCATGTGAAGATATATGGCAGGGATTCCAGAGGAAAGGAAGTCTGGCAAGTGTCCTGTGAAGAACATGGGTTGAGTTACCTTAGTGTAGTGCTCCTCAAACTTTAATATACATGTGAATCACTTGGGATCTTGTAAAAAGCATATTCTGAGTTAGTAGGTCTGTGGTGAGCCATTTCTAACTAGAGGATACAGTTTAGATCTATGTTTCCACAAAATCTTATTGCAAATTATAATCCGCAATGTTGGAGGTGGGGCCTGGTGGGAGGTGACTGGATCATAGGGGTGGTTTCTCATGAATGGTTTAGCACCATCCCCCTAGTGCTGTTCTTGTGATAGAGTGCTCATGAGATCTGGTTGTTTAAAAGTGTGTGACACCTCCCTGCTCTCTCTCTTCCTACTGCTCCTGGCCATGTGAGGTGCTGGCTCACCCTTCACCTTCCATCAGGATTGTAAGTTTCCTGAGACCTCCCCAGAAGCTGAGCAGATGCCAGAATCATGCTTCCTGCAAAGCCTGCAGAATTGTGAGCCAATTAAAAGCTCTTTTCTTTATAAATTATCCAGTCTCAGGTAGTTCTTTATAGCAATGTGAGAACGGACTAATATACCAGTTCTCAGAAGATGCTGAAGATGATGGTTCATACTTTGAATAGTGAGGCCTTAGGAAACACCGTGAAAGGATAGCCTGGTAACCTGAAGAGTAACTGTCAAATAAAAACACATTATTGTTAAGTATTAAGGGATAGAGAGAATGGGTATAGATAGTGTTGCTTCAGAAGCAAAGTGGGAGGGACCCAAGAGGAAGGCGAAAATGAGAGACATAGCAAGGTCCATTGATAAACTACTTTTCCTACTTGGAGAATATCCTTCCAAACTCTTCCCTGTTGAAATCTTGAAATTTCTTCATTAATGTAGTGAACAATTTCATAAGTTTGAGACTCTGTCACTAAAAATCCTTGGGGCCTAGGTTAACTTTAAACTGAATTGGTTGGTTGCTTGTCATGTGAACATATGACCCAGCTGTGATCTTACACAACTCCCTTCACCCTTAGCATTTTAGGTCAAGAAGAATGTCACCAGTGAGTGAGGAATGTGGTAAAACATGAGAAAAAGCTCACCCCAACCTAGTAGTGAGAATAGCAGGAGGCTGTATGGCAGAACATGAATCTGGGAGTTTACTCACAGTGTTACAGATTCATTATTCATCCCTTGAAAAGCATTTCCTGGTATGGTGGTTATGTGTAAGTTATCACAAATTTCCCTGGAGAAAAGAAATAAGAAATATTTACTTTCCAAATTTTAGCAGCAAATAGGAAACTGTTATGCATAGCAATCAGCCTGGTACTTACAGAATGAAATTTAATTCAGAGGACAAGATCTTCGTAACATCTGGAAACTTTCTGATGCCCGTGTTACAGATGCTCCTGTGATTAGGGACAGGGTAGTGGTGTGGGCAGAGAGTGGGTAAAAGTGATTGTTAGTAAGACATAAAGATAAAAAGGGAGTACAAAAGCATTTTGCAAATACAACTTTCACATTAAATTTAAAAATACTGAGTTTGGTGTTATCAGGACTACTTTTAGCTGAGAAAGATTGTTGGAATTCAGAAGTCCCTGATGCTACAGGAGAAGATGCTCTAATGACTCCTATTTAGAGATTTGGGGACTGGGGCCAAATTTAAAGGTCTTTTTCATTTATATTTCTAGCCTGTCTTTTCTTATTAAATCAATCACATTTTCCTACTGTATTGTGTTCCATTTTCTTTTAGTAATTAGTTTATTACATGCTCTTGATAGTTCTAGAAAGCGGAGCAGATTTTAATTCAAATACTTCCAGAAGATTAATCTTTTATGATAAATCCATATTGCTAATTATTAAAAATCTTCCCTTATTTAGCTACCTTGCAATTCAGGAAGTTCTTCTTTGCATCTCTTTGAAATCACTAAAATTTATTTTGGTGTTTGGAGCTATTCAAGACTCTTCTTTTCCTCCCACCTTTTATTTAACCTCCAAAGAGGAGAGAGGCTTAAGTGATAGGTAAAATTGAAGAATATTTTATTACAAGAATGGGGCTCCTTCAGAGTCTGGGCATCTGGATTTCCACCGAGTTGTAGATTCACCAGTCTTGGACTCTGGACAACTAATGTGAACTGCTTGTCACCCTGGTGACAATGAAACAAAGCCAGGTTTCTCTTCTGGCTCTCTCAGGTTGTCCTCCTTATCCAAAAGCCCAGGTCACACTGGATCTCTGCTCTGTCTATAGCTGGGGATAGCAGTGTGGGATTAGACTACAATGTGTACTTGAGTTGGGTGAATATCACAGTTTTGGATGAAAATACTATTTAATAAATACAATTATTGTTAGATAATAAGGGCCGCAGTGGTCAAATTTGGTTCTGGGATTTCCTTATGTTCTTTCAAAGTAGTTGATGCTACCGTATGCTTATATGCCCTATAGACACCCTGTAGGTTTGGAAAAGCAGAACACCTGAGTTTGGAATTGTTCAGTGTTAGAGTTAACAAAGGAGCTCTGCCAGTTCCAGTAGCAGCTCTTGTAGAAGGCCCCAGGGCAAGACTGATGACGTGAAATACCAGAGAGATGTCCCTTCTCTCTGTTTTCCTTTTTTTGGGCAGTGATGGGAGGTGGACTTTACATTCTCTGAGGAGTTTATGAAATTTAAAGAAGAAAGAGAGGATGTCTGTTTTAGGGAGGCTTACATTTTTCTTTATGTATAGGGATGACTTGATATGTGAGAAAATCCATAGTGATAAATTCATAGATTTCAGAAATTTTGGTATTGCTGGCAAGGCAATGATTGTGGAAGGCTACAGTGGTACTCAATTTCTAATGCTAACTGACAGAGTTAATGGGAAATGGAAAATAATGATTTACTTTATATGGCATAGTGTCTACTTTAAGGCAATACTTAAAAAGTTTTCATTTAATGAACAAATGAAAAAACATGAGATGCAGGAGATCAGTAATTCTCAAACAGTGATGAGAGTCAAATCAGAATTGCCACTCTCACTTTCACCTATTCTCTATTCACCTCAGAGATTCTGATTTACTCTCTTTAAAGTGTTATGACCTCCATCTCCCATACCCACTGTCAACCTTGAAAATCACTGCAAAGGGGTGATGTTCTTCCCAGGTGTTTAGGACAGATAAAATGTTGGGAACCACTTACATGTATACAAAAGCACCCAGCACGGTGGCTGACAAGAAATGCCAATTAAATTTAAATCAGAAGGCTGAAGAGGAACATGCAAATAGTGCCGTGTATATGGTTAAACAAAATCTTTCCAACCTTTTCCTTGTTTTGATTTTCATCAGATGCCCATCTTCCCCTCCCCAGTTGCTTAAAAAGGAAAATTTCTCACAAGTATTGTAATCGGGGAAGATTTATAAATGCTCCGGGCTCAATGTATCTCAGATTTTTGGTGTTCTGGATCAGTCTGTAAAGAGAGGGGGAAAAAAAAAAGCAGCATTTAATAGATATGTATTGTTTGGAATGGGTGAGATTGTGGTCACCAGAAGTTGCTGGCTGAAAATGGCATCAGCTAAAGCCAGTGACCTTCATATGCTTGGGAGGACCCCTAGCGACTCTAGGGATGGAAATGGCTTGGTGAGAGCCAGTCGCTATTTCCAGGAAGCACTGCTCTCAAGCTTCTAAAGAGGCCGGTATGAGGATCAGAGCAGGGAGTCTGTCTCTGCACCCTCCCCCGCTCCCCCACCACAGACAGCACCGACACCCAGGGCTCCTGGCCAAGTAGATTCTGCCCCACTGTGGACCCCGCACACTGAGGGTGATGAGAGATTCCTCTCTCAGGAGAGATGAGCAAATTTCCTACTCTCCCTTGTAAGCAAACTGGTCCTCTTCATATTGGCTGGCAATCACATGAGCAGTTATACCGAGAGGGGCACCAGTCTGTGGAATGGCACACGGCAAAGGCCAGAGGCTTGAATTTGGGGGATTTTATATTCATCCTGAAGATAATTTGCTGTGTGTTGATGCTCAGCCTCCTAACTTCCCTGAGCTAGTATCTCTTCTGTAAAATTGGTATAATAGTATTATATAGTCTTCCTGCCTCACAGGTTAGTAGGTTTTAAGTAATAGAATAGGTAGAGGTAACAAGAGGCAGGGCTTTGCAAATAAAGGTACAGCCATACACCACTGTGGTGTTATTGCCCTCCCCGCCCAACTCCCCCATTCCCCTAATTACTGTGACCCTATAAAAAGTAGTCACCATTGCTAAGTCCTGTCTACTTTGTATTCAATAAAAGGCCAGTAAATGCCTTTGGCTTCCTTAATGCAGGTGACAGCCACCTGAGGAAATAATAATTACCTTGTTCTATAGAGAAAATGTAGTGTATTGATTAGGAGCATGGGGTCTGGAGTCAACTTGGTTTTTCATTCTGATTTTACTGATCATATGACCTTAGATATATCACTTAAAGTTCTCTGTGCCTTGGTTTCCTCATAGTGTTGTTTTTGAGGAATAAATATATGTGTCTGGTTCACAGTAAGGCCTCAACCAGTGTTAACGATAGTTATAATAGTTGCTGAAATTAGGAAGTTGAATGATTTGTCTTTAGTCACACAGCTGAGAATTAGCAGAACTTGGACGTGACCCAATTTTTCTGTCAGTTTAGTGTTTGTTCCACCACACTACAGTTACCCATCACTTGTGCATATTTCCATCTTCTCAGCCCTTTTAATTCTCCAGATGTGAGTGATATTTTGTTGTATTTATTTCTATAACAACTGAGTCAAGCAATCATAGGCCATATACGGCCTTATGTGGGTGGGATGGAAGGGACTTTTATCTCTAAGATCTTTTGGGCTGGGTGTGGTGGCATGCATCTGTAGTCCCTGCTACTTGGGAAGGAGGTGGGAGGATCACTTGAGCCCAGGAATTTGAGGCCAATCTGGGCAACAGAGTGAGACCCCTGTAACTAAAATAAATAAATAAATAAATAAAATAAATTTAATAAAAGAATTTTGGGGCCTGACCTTAGCCCAGTCATTCATTCAACAAACATTTATTGGGCACTTACATGTGGCAAGCATTGTTCTACATGCTAGGAATACAGCTGTGAACGAAGCAAAAAGAGCCTTCATGGAGCTAGCGTGCTAGTCTTAGGGCCTTCTTTGGGAATCCATAAACTTTCCCTAAGAGTGCTTTATATTTCTTTCTGTTGATGAATGCGGCTTTGCATCATGGGAAGCTTTATTTATCATTAGCTGCCCTGGTGGTTCTCAATATAAGCTGTGTTTTAGCATTACCTGGGAAGTCTGTTAAAACTGCAGCTTTCCAGGTCTGAGATAGGACTGTCATTCTGCAATTGTAATGAGCCCCACATGTGATTCTGCTTCTCAGCTAAGTCCAGACTATGTCTTTTGCACTTACTCATTATTTTGGATTTCTCCATAACTGGTGAGTAGTCTTACTTCCCTGGCTACACTGTCATCTCGTGGTTGACATTTATATTTTATCTCTGTATTCCAATAGCATTTGGCCCTGTATTAGACACACGGTAGTTGCTCATGTACTTACCTATTAATTATTCTCTTTAGGTAATTATTCATTGGATCATTTATAGGGGGACCTTGTGGTATAATGGAAAATGCAGGAGCTTTGAAGAAAGACAGTCTGGGATTGAATCCCAGTCCTGCCATGGTCTAAAGCAAGCTTGTTGAACTCACAGCCTGCGTACCACATGTGGCCCAGGATGACTTTGAATGTGACCCAGAAGTTTGTAAACTTTCTTAAAACATTATGAGTTTTTAAAAACCTCATCAGCTATTGTTAGTGTAAGTGTATTTTATGTGTGGCCCAAAACAATTATTCTTCCACTGTGGCCCAGGGAAGCCAAAAGATTAGATACCCCTGGTCTAAAGTGTCACATTGGTCAAGTTTCTGTGCCTTTCCAAGCCTCCATTCCTTCCCCTGGACAAAAGGGATAATTACCCCCACTCTGCATGGTAGCTGTGAGGATTAAATGACACAACATAGAAGAAATGCCAAGCACAAGAGCTCAAAAAATGTTTGATGCTAATACTTTTCCCCTTCCCTTACTTTTGAAACTCCAAAGTAGGTGAAGTTTGAGTGCTCTTCTGGAAGCTCAGGTTTGGACCACACAAAGCAGCAGTAGGGGGCCTGGTTTAGAAGTCACATGAATTGATTTCTAATTCCAGCTCTGGCGCTAACTTGCTGTGTGATGTCAGGCAAGTAAGCTAACCTCTTTAGGCCACAGATTCATCACTTGAAAACTGAATTGAACCAGCCTTTTCCCATCCTTTTTGTGATATTTTGGGCAAATGATACTTTGGCAAGTGTTCTGTTTCTAAGAGTTAATTCCAAAACATCACAATAACAACAACAAAACCCAACAAACTCAACACACACATGCCTATTAGAGAGCTTTTACACTGTAGGTATTCAAGAAACATTTACTGAATGAGTGAATGTGCCAAAAACCAATTTATGATCTCTAAGCTCTTTTCCACATTTTCCCACTATCCCAAGTACTCCATACCCTCCATAGGCAAGAGCTACTTGGCAGGACTTCACAATGTCAATTTTAATTTCTATCTTTGTGTTGTGATGTTTCAGAATTTATACAGCTCCCAGGGAGAAGCAGTTGTCACCATAGCAACCTACAGGCCACTGCCGTGAGAAAAATTATTGCCTGCCCAGACCTAGTAATTGCTGTAGTTTTTTCCTCTTGGATTCCTAGCAGTGGATGCTTGAATACAAATACCAAGTGGGCTCCAGCCAGCGAGGGTAATAGTGTACAGCAGTAAACTGTCTATTAGCTGATGCTTACATTTCAGACAAATTGAGGAGGTTGTCAAAGGCATTAGCTTCTATCCTTTCCAGGGAATCAATCTGAGAGATTTCACTAGGGAAGAGAGAGGGGGGAAAAAAGAGAAAGAAACATGAAAGAAATGACCGTGTCTGCATGATAATGAGATGTGTGTGTGTGACCCAACAACTGGGGACTCCACTGTGTCCCCCTGAAAAGAACAAGGATGTGCAAGTTGTCCCCAAATCATACAGTGCTAACACTGTATGATTTAGAAGCACTGATGGGCACCTACAACCCAGGTGCAGTTGAAATGCAAGTTTTAGTAACCCCTGTTTATGTGACAGGTTTTTCTCTTATTTATCTCTGGCTCAGAGTCACAGGTTGTTAGAACTGCATAGGCCCATTGAGAAAATCTAGTCAGATTCCCTTGTTTTACAGCTCTGGAAATTAAGGCCCTGAGAGGAGAGTCAAATAGTATTTATATTAAGGTTCAAGACTAGGATATGGATCTCTGGGTCCCAATTCTGTCACTCTAGTGAGGCTTTAATATGGGTTGAATTGTTTCATAACTCTTAACCCTTGGTTTCCCAAAATCTCGTGCTGAAGCTATTGCAAGGTGGTCAACTCCTGCACATGGTATCCATCCTGAATTATAATTATCTACTTCCTTGCCTGTTTTTCTCACTTGTGAGCAAATTGAGGACAAGGAGTATATTCTATTCACTTCTGAATCCCTGATGGCTTTATGTTGCTTGGCACAGAGTTAAGAGTACAAATGAATGAATGAATAAGTGAATGGAGTAATGAATAATTGAATTTTTTGAAAACAACACAAAAATAAAGGAACCAGTTTTGTCATATATGATTCGCAAGCATGTAGGTAACGTCAGTGTTACCCTAAAATCCCAACATAAGCTACCATTTCCTGCCAGCTGAAAAAAAAGTCTCAAATTCACAAACTGTACATTTGCTTATTTCTAAGGTTAAGGCTCACTGAAGACTTCAGACTGATGAGAGCATTAGCCCACAGAAAAGCAGAGCCTAAGGTAGCTAATGTCTTTTCTGAACAACGCAGGAATGGATTGTTCTTGGGCTGATTCATCTTATTCCCACCTATTGGTTTGCTTATTTAACTGTAGCTGCTTTTCTCAGTAGGAGGTCTTAATGCATTAAAGGTTATCAAAACTCAACATTCCAACTTGAGAGCAGAAGAGCGTGGGTTAGGCTCAAGTAAACTGACAAGTCTGTAACCGGCAGTGAATTTCCTATAATATGCAGTAGTTCTTGAGGCATTATTTTAAATATTCTAATTGCTTACTAATACCCTAAAGGGCAATAGAGGTTCCCAAAGGAGCTAAGATCGATGCTGTAGCATCTTCTTTAGAGAGGCAAATCTGCTTCCAAAGTCCAGTGGCTTGTTAAGATTAGAGATGCACTGTGGGAACTCAATGGCCATGAAGTCCTTTGACTCAAGCTAATACTAAGAAAGATGCTGGAATACTGGGCCCTTGAGAACATTCTCTCTCCAAGTATGGGAACTTTGGTCCTGGAAGCTGAAACCCAGGGACAAATGATCGAAGTTATGTCTGACAAACATGAGATCATACTGTATTATCCGAGTACTTTACACTTTTGATAAATACCTTTCATCAATATAGTTATAAATACTGTGTTTTTGTTATATACTTATATTTTAGATATAAAGATTATCTTCTGATGCACAATAAACTTCCAACACATTTTTTTTTCCTATGTGGGTGTTATCTAAAAATGTGACACAAGGGAATAGCTGCTGCAGCAGAAGGAGAATTTTTATGATTGGAATCTATCTTTTTTTCTCCTTAAAAGATATATCATCACTTACAAAATGCATTCAGTTCTTTGAAGCAAGGTTAATTATCTGGATTTTAATGACTCTTAAAAATCATACCTTTTCTTCAAAGGTCTCTGGTTATTATATGTATTACAAAAATAAAAATATGCGAGTATCCTAAACACAATTTCTTTCCTAGAAAAATTATCCCCTTTCAAATGTGTTTTCTCTTAGAAAAAATTCATTATTCCAATTACGAATGTCTTTTGATATGCAGTAACTTACTTACATTTTTACGACCTCATTAAGTCCTCTGAAAGCTTGAGATGGGATCACTTTGACAGGGAGGTAGGCAAGTGATCTAGAAAAGAAAAAAGGAAATCCAAGAGTTTAAGACTTATGATAGGTTGCCTTTTAAGTTCATGAATAAAGTGTGTATGTATATGTGTATGAGAGACAGAGACTTCAGAGTTACCGAGAACTGGATTCAGGCTGAGGCTTCTGACTTAAATCAATGAAGACATGTGCCATGACTATTCTTGGTTTTTATCAAAGAGTGTATAATTTTGTGGTTAAGATCATGAATGTTGAGATCAGACACACCTGGGCTCAAATCTTCGCTGTCCCACCACCTGGCTATGTGATTCTAAGCATGTTATTTAAGCCCTCCAGCTCAGTTTCTTTGTCTGTAAAATTGCACTAATAATTCCTGCTTCACAGGGTCATTGTGATGATTAATCTGGATAATCCATGTAAAGAACAGGGCGTGGCACCAAATATATAGTTAAACAGTTGTAGAGTGATCCTATAGACTTGGTTGGGAAAATGGACAACAACTATGTTGAGCAGAGTGGAGAAATGAATGATGAAAATACAATTGGAAATTATGCAGGCAGGAGAACAGGAGATTCATTAAGAACATACTCCCATCTTGATCTCTACTATCTTTCCCAGGTAGCCTATTTCAATGTTATCCCAAACAGACAACTTTGATCCTATGGTTAACCCACATGGGCATCTCATGTCATTTGGGGGGGAATATCTATGAGATCATTTCCTTCAGGCATTCACTTATACCCACAGGAACAATCTAAATATTATTGAAATTGAAATAAAAGCCATGCTGTACTTAAGATTTGAGAAAAGAGTGACACTCAGAAATGCAAAACCAGTATAGGATGATGTGTGAATGCTAAAGGAACTGGAGGTTAAGATAACTCAGGAGAAAACAACTGCAAGGCAGGGATGAACATGCAGCCAACATTTATTGAGCATCTACAATGGTTTAATGTTTTGGCCCAAGGACTGGCAGAGAGGAAGGGAGTGGGCAAGGATATTTCAGGTGGGAAGTGAGTATGTGAGTATCAGGCATATGAGAACAAAGGTGAGAGGTGCTGTCTTGTTTTTAACATGTCTATGCAGCAGAGACTGCTTTAAGCTGCTAAGAAAGAACACCTCCATGATGGGCAGATGAAAGTCAGATTTCTTACAGTCCCAGAAGGGACTTGCTACAGTTCTAAGCTGCGGTGTGAGTTATACACACCCATTTGTGACCTTATTTTACTCACTCAACAATGGTGTGAGGTGAGTATTTCCTTTACATAGCAGAAGAAATTGGGTCACAAAGAGATTAAGTAACCTGAACAAGGTTACAACCAGGCAGAATGACTCCAGACATCCTTTCCCTGTGCAATACTGGCCAAAGCATGTCATTCTTTTTTTTTTTTTTTTTTTTTTTTGAGACGGAGTCTTTGCTCTGTCACCCAGGCTGGAGTGCAGTGGCGCGAACTCGGCTCACTGCAAGCTCCGCCTCCTGAGTTCACGCCATTCTCCTGCCTCAGCCTCCCGAGTAGCTGGGACTACAGGCGCCCGCTACCACGCCCGCTAATTTTTTTGTATTTTTAGTAGAGACGGGGTTTCACCGTGTTAGCCAGGATGGTCTTGATCTCCTGACCTTGTGATCCGCCCGTCTCGGCCTCCCAAAGTGCTGGGATTACAGGCTTGAGCCACCGCGCCCGGCTCATTCTTAATCCAGTATCTTGGTGAGCAAGGTGGAGGCACAGGCATTGCAACCTTGCTTCTCCTGAGAGGAAACATGTCACATTCTATTTCTTCCGCAAAGCAGTTTACCAGCCATACCTCCCTAGGTGCTAATGGAGAGGAATTTCAGAAATTTCATTTCAGAAAAATGTTTTCACTCAATAATCTCTTAGAAATGATATAACCTAGAGAAAGTAATCCAACTTTGGTCTCTGATTCTATTCCCAAAGACATTCTTACCAAGGACATTGTTTAACACCTAAACTTATTTAACAGAGGATCCTAGAAGAACAGGGACAGTGTGGGGAGAAATCTTCTTTTGGTGGCATATTTGCTTCCTGTATTTCTTCTGGAATCATGTTCGCTTGGCTTCCTGATTAAAAACACAGTTTTATTGCTCTCTGCACTGCCAAACCAATAAATTTCCAGAAGAGAAAGCTGTATTCCACTGTACCCCTTGCAGCATCAATAAAACTGACAGCCAAATTCTGATTCCAGCATCTTTATTGCTGGGGATAATGCAGTGTGGAACATATTTTGGAGAGTGTTTACATAAAAGCTTCAACAGAACCCTTCAGAGCTGTTTATTCACGCACATGGAGCCCAGAAGCTGGAGTCTCTCAGCAGGCAGCCTCCTCCTCCAAATAGGGGCATGGTGTGACTCCCAGAGGAGCAGTTTGGTTCAGATTTGACCAGGGAGGTTGCCTGAGCTTTTGATTGATGTAGGGAGGAGGGATGAGGAGCAAAGGTCAGACAGAAGTGCAAGAAGCTGTAGATCATGCAATGGCAGTCTCCAGTGGCTACAGAAGCAGCCCTGGTGCAAGCTGAAATGTTGCAGAGTTGATGTTGATGCTGCAGAGCAGGAAGGGCAGCAGTGGGGAGAATGAAACTAGAGCCTCCTCTAAAAAGAGACACCAAGTGAACAGCAGGTGACTTTGTTGATGTGGTTGGGTCAAGAAAGAGTCCAGGGAATGGGGAGAGAGGTGGGGTTGGGCAGGTGCACTGTGCTTTTCACAACAGATGTGTTCCCATGAGGCAGCACAGACAATGTGGTCCTGTGAATCCAAAACCATTTTCCCTACTGACTTATATTTTTTATTTCAGAAATGTCACATCTTCATTTCTGATTCATCGTTGATTGGTAGCAGTTCCTAAACATTCAAGTGTCTGTCTCCAGAATTTATTAATAAAGTTTATGATTTGTTAATAACTGTTTGAATGTACTCCCTTTGAAGGTGCCCCACTCTCTAATGGATGCATCTATGATTCTTTCCATGATGCCAGAAACTTTTAGCAATGTGAACAATGATCTTAATAACCCTGCAATTCCACTCCTGTATACATACATTGAGAACAATTCTCAAACTGATACTTAAAGGAATCTTTTACAAACATTTTCTTCACAGCATTGTGGCATCAGGGGATTGGAGGCAACCTGGGTGTCCATTACTAGGTGAGGGAGTAGATAAAATTTGGACAGTGCACACCTAACTGAATAGGAGAGCATGTAGAAGTGAGAGTCTAAAGGCACACAGAGTAGCATGGGTGGATCTTCAAATCATGGGACTGAGAGAAACAAGAAATTACTGAGATATAATATACTGTTTGCAGAATTAAAATATATGTACACCAAACACTAGACATTAACCTCCTCCTGCACATGAACATATGCTAGGATTGTTATCTAAGGCGAGTTGAGAGGAACAGAAGTGGGAGAAGGAGATAAAATAAATAACTAAAAACAGAGAGGGACTTTGAATGGACTAGTGATAATGTTACTTAAATGAAGAAATATGACCAACTTAACCCTCTGTACTAGAGAGACAAATGGAAAATAGAAAGTTTTATTTTGAAATATTGACTGCCTGCTTGCTTACCTTTCTTCCTCCTCCTTCCTCTCTCCCTTCTTCTCTCCTTCCTTTCCTTTCCTTCATTTTTTTTTTTTGAAGTTAGGCGTACTTGTATTCCAGTAGTTTTGTGAACTATTGTGGAAAGGTCTAGTCAGTATCATTTGATATAGAGCAGAAGCCAAGGAGAACTGAGGGCAAAAATGCCTAAGGCAAGGACAGTTCAGCGGCTCTGCTCTCCAGGGTCAAAAGAGGAATGAAAGCTATGCATAAAGCAAAGAAAATAAAGGAAGGACAGAGCCCTTTCCGTCTCAGCAAAAGAGGGTGACACACCACAACTATGCACCTCAGATGGGTGGTAAAGAATTAGGGTTACTGGGCAAATATGAGGTTAAACTTGCAGGGTGGAGAGTTCTCTCTTGAAAGGTGAGATGGCTGTGGAAAAATATGGCTGTGGAACTATGCAGCTACTTAAATTTATTATATTTTCACAGTCTTTTTTGCAGTTTAGAACTTTTGTTTTTAAATAATTTGATGATGCAACGCAGGTGGCACCTTGCCCGAGTGCCTTTGCCACAGATGTTGAAACAAATGCTTCAATTGGATTACAAAGGCTGCATTCGCTTCATCAGCTTGGAGCCTCCATCTACTCATTAATCCCATCTGCAGGTCCCCAACCCTTCTAGTTGTGGGTTAAAGTGGAAATTGAAGCAGTCTGTACTCCTTAGGGCTGGAATTAAGTCATTCACCCTAGTGCTGGGATCTTGTGATTGGTCATGACTCTGGCGAGGATTGTGCATGGTCTAAACTGGACCCAATAATATTAATATTTGGAGGGCAGGAGTGCACCTGCAGTGCCTCCCCACATGCTATGCTGGTGTTTGTTTTTTTCTTGATTTCTTATCCTGCAGCTTGCTTGGTCTCCCCAGAATCCATCTAGGAGTAGGGCTTCTCTTAGTTCCTGCCTTCTCTTCTCAATCACCAGATCCTGATCCCTGTGTCTCTACCCCTTAGGGGACACCGCTGCCCTAGACCAGTTCCTGGTTGCTCTCTGGTTAGGATCAAGCTAGTATCTCTTACTGCTTCATTCTAACTTTCAAACTGGGTCCCTTGGCACAGATGGTGACCCTGTGTTGTGACTACCCAGTAGGGTTGGGTTACTTTCTGTAGTGGATACCGTGGTGGGCTACCCAAATCACTCTTTAGTACGGAGGCACCAATTTCACCAACTGCTAGGAAAGAGTGGGTGGCTGAAACTCTCAGCTGAGTTGCTGTCCTAGAATTATGCTCACAGACTGATGTGTTTTGTGTCTGTGTCCACCCAAATCTCGTGTCAAATTGTAATTCCCAGTGTTGGAGGTAGGGCCTGGTGGGAGGCAATTGGATCATGGGGCAGATTTCCCCTTTGCTGCTGCTCTTATGATAGTGAGTGAGTTATCATGAGATCTGGTTGTTTAAAAGTGTGTAGCACCTC